CTTAATTACTGACAAGGATCCATTCTCCGCCCAACAGATTGTTTAAGGGCCCACATGTGTTATGCCCCCATGGCACTCTACGGAGCGTCCACACTACAGCTTCAAAAAAAGCTTGGAGCTGGGCGTGTCTGAAGCTTGGGGATGTTATTCAAGCAACGCGACCAACAACCAATCACATGTATCTCCCGCCCCCGACATACAAAGCAAAAACCCCCGGGGATTTTATGGGAGCAATATATATATATATATAAACTCCCCAAACAGGCGAAAACCTACCAGTTTCACCCACTGTCTCTGCCACCTCCCTCCATGCCTGGTTCCTCCGGTTTGTATCCCGGTAGGTGAAGAGGGTCCGGTCATACAAAACCGGGTGATTTGCTACGGCGATAATTAGTTTCTCCTCCATCTTTTTTTGAAATATAGAAATGAACGGCGGGATATCTCTCCCAGCTTAGACGCGGTTTGATTGGCTACGGCTTGAGCTGTCAGATTTTCCGAAACGGGATTTGATTGGCTGGCGCTGGCTACTCCGGCGTCTCCGGCGTCAGAAATTGAACCGGAGACGGCGGAGACGGACCGCTATGCTACCCACAATTCAGTTTGCCGAAAAAAAGCGGCAACGTGACGTCACCCCATTCAAAGTGAATGGGCAGATTGAAGCTGTCGACGCTGTCGACGCTGTAGTGTGGACGCTGTCGACAGCTTCAATCTGCCCATTCACTTTGAATTCACGTAATTCACATAGCGGTCCGTCTCCGGCGTCAGAAGTTGACGGACCGCTATGCTACCCACAATTCAGTTCGGTGAAAAGCGAGGCAACGTGACGTCACCCCATTCAAAGCGAATGGGCAGACGCGTTGGAAACAGTTTTTGAAGCTGTCGAAGCTGTAGTGTGGACGGGCCGTAAGTGTATGCCCCTGGTCATATATTTGCCTCTGCATCTTGATTTTAGCACAAGGGGCTAGGGTCCGGGTTTAAGTTTGCAGTACACAGTTTAAACAAAGACATGGACACAAGTACTGGACATAAAATACACACTGTTTTCACACATGCATGTAAATATATCTAATATCGGACCCAAATATGTATATATGTTCATTTTAAGTAATTTCTTATTTTAAAGTTACTTAAAGGCGGGGTAGGTAATTTTGGAGAAACCAGCTCGAGTGCGCTAGAATTTGAAAATAGACAACCGGAAAAAATCTGCCCCTTCCTTCAGACTTCCTTACAGAGCCCCTCCTCCAACACACACGAACGCGCACATGACCAATGAGGGCACGAGATAAGTTTGTGCACAGATGGAAGGCTGACAGGCAGGTAGGCCATCCAGTTACTTTAGCCGGGCCGGCTCAAATGATTGGTCGTGCTTTTTACAGTACTACAGCTTCCACAGATGATATTTTTGTATGGATTTTTTGTCGAAGCACTTAAGATATTCATTGCTATCGGGATGTTAAGAGCATTCCATGGAATATAACAAAAAGTGTATCTCGAGCCGGTTTCTCAAACTTACCTACCCCACCTTTAACTGTATATAATTTGTATTTTTATCTTTAATTTGATTAATCTCTAATCTTGTGTGAATCTGTGCTGTCCTGTTTTTCATTCTTATCCTGTTGCTGTTCAACTACTGAATTTCCCCACGGGGATTAATAAAGGTCCATTTTATCTTATCTTCAGTGGCGACTGGTCATTAGGGGCAGGTGGGGCACAGCCCCACCAAGTGTCAGCAGAAAGTATTAAAAATAATGATTGCAAAAAAAAATATTAAATATATTTTAAGATCATGTTTAATCATCTGATTCGTCTGTACATTGCTGTTTTAGTCTGTGTTCTTCTAATTAGTGTCTACAGTGTGTGCCTATTGAGCTGTTTAGAGCCATGTGGGACAAAACCCGATCCTGCCCCTCCCTCTCACTGTCTAAGTGAATGGTGACTGTAAAAACTACACTGCACATGCTCAGAGTATTGTCCTATTTCATGTGTGTGGCAAAAAAATGAGAACCGCAGTGACGCGTCGTAAAACCCGGAAGTAAACTTCTTCCGGTTCCTTCGTGAAAAACCAATGCAAATTCTCCATAGGATTTTGGAAAATAGCTCGAAATAAGGTCTGTGGTTGACACACATTTAAGAGAGGGATCACGTTTTGTTTAGCCGGATAATCTCCACATGTCTACCCTACTTTTATAATTTTTGAATCATATATCTAGTCGCCAAAAGCGAAATGCTAACGTTATGCTATAAACTAACTACAAGCCAGTACAGCAGCAGGGTCGCACGACTTCAACGTCACGCCAACTTAAGATCGTTTCAACTGACTTGCACTGAAACTGCACTTTGAACACTTTAAATATATTAACATTTTAAACTGTATACCCTGGTTATCTAGGCCATTTTTGTTTTGTTTTATTATTTATTATTTGTATACATGTCACACTGTGGGAAACGATATTTCGATATTTCTGGATGTATAACACATGTAGAATTTTTGACAATAAAGCTGACTTTGACTTTCGCGTGCTTGCATATTTTAACAAAGCTTTTCATTTCAGCCACACTGAATTTAACTAGAAGTCATGGCTGTCAATGACCAGTCTGATATCGTTTTACAAAGATGACAAGAAGAGTGTAGATAGAGGAGAGAACCACTACAAGTCAGGACACGTAAAACAGTGCAGTCTAGATGAAGGTGTGCTTACCGGTGTTGTCAGGGCTAGCATGAGGGACAAGGTTTATAGTGTCGGTGAGTAGTGATAGCAAGAGTACCGTTAACCTAGAGTTAATTTATTCACATTAATTCCCATCAACAAATCCATTTTATGTGTCACATGAAATCTTTATTAGGCAAGGCAAGGCAAGTTTATTTATATAGCACTTTTCAACACAAGGCAATTCAAAGTGCTTTACAAAAAATGAAAGACATTAAGAAAATGGCATTTAAAATCAGTCATTAAAAAGAAAAGCTAATAAAATAAACATTAAAAGAAAAAATACATGGATAAAAGTTACAGTGCAGTCTAAGATGTGAATAGTTCAATTAAAAGCAGCGGCAAAAAGAAAAGTCTTCAGCCTGGATTTAAAAGTAGTAAGAGTTGTAGCGGACCTGCAGGTTTGTCTAGCTACTTTTATAATTTTCAAATCATAAATCTACAAGAAGATAAGGAGGACTTTTACAAAAAAGTAAGAGATTTTTGTCCAGAAGGATAGGCAAATGGACTTCATCTTCAAGTCAAGGTAAGACCACAATTTTATTGAAAATGGGATCTTACTAAGAGAGAACAGTTCAATATTTAAATGATACAATTACATTTTTTGGGTATCCTTTATCCTAAAATTAATCGAAGAATCAGACAAAAAAAGCTTTTGAAAATAATATTATATTTTGATTTGTAAACCTGAAGAGTCAGTGCCAGTACCAGCCATGAACCTCACTGCACCTCACTGCAGAAGCTTATATATAGACATCTACGTTTTTTGTGCCCCACCACTTTTGTACATATAAAAACGCCACTGCTTATCTTATGTCAGGGACGTGCACAGACATTTGGAGGGGCTATTGCTCTAAACTGGAAAAAGGGCCTCCCCCCCGAAAAAAAAGATAAGACCAAAACGATTATTACATTAACTAATTTGAACAGTAATTCACATCATCATCTCAAAACAAAATAAGCTAAGGCAACTACTTGCATTCGGTGACTTGATTTTTAAAATGAAAAACAGGGACATTTTTTGTTTTGCGGTCCATATCTCATTCAAATATCTAATGTTAGCAACTATTAAAGAAAACATGGGGACAATTCAATGCAGTTTGACCATTGTAACTGCTGTGCAGACATACTGATAAAATAGGGCTTCTATAATTACCTTAAATAAACTCACTAATTAATTAAACCAGTTCAATACGCATTATTCTTATAATTCTTTATGAGCCCAGTAAAGGTACGGTATCTAATTACTTATTTATTTAGTATTCCATAACTTAATAACAGAGACGGTCAAATTAAAGTAGAGATATGGCAGAAATCCTACAATAAAGCGGGACAGTGAAGTGTTCTCCTGTGAGAGGGCGATCAAGAAAAGAGAGCGAGCGGCGCGTTGAGGGAGTTTACCATGGATGTTTAATAGGAGTTTAAGGAGCAGATGAAAAGACACAGAAAGACAGAAGCACAATAACAAGTATATGTAGGTGTTTTTTTGTAAATAACCGACGGTGCCAAGAGCAAGTAAAGTCCCTGCCATGAGAAAACTCAAAATCCATTTCCCTAAATCCGACACTAGAGGTGGTCTTAACGCACCAGCACCAATACAGTAGCCTATAATAAATATTATATATATAATACGTAACATGTGTAATCACACACTTAGATATGTGCGATATAGAACATCAATAATAAAAACGTAGGACTACCTGGTTTAAAATACTTTTGTGGTCATACTGTGGAATGAGTTCACACTGAAACGAGTTCTTCATTGAAAATGTCGCGGGCAATTACATGTAAGGAGAAGAAGAAGTAGTAGAAGGAGAATGAAGCTGGTGTGTTTCCCGCAGCGAGACATTACAATACTAATTGTGGGCTTATCATGTTGATTCGACCACAACAGAAAGAAAAAAAAACTCTCGCTCTCTCCAGAGGGGCAGGTCAGCCAAAAAGGGAAAACGGGCCGTTAACAATAGCCCGTACCTGTGCACGTCCCTGTCTTATGTACATTTCATTGCAAAAACATTATCAGTTTATGGTACCACAAGGAGCACTGACGCTGACATTCACAGGCATAAGGAAAGTGAATTGTGCAGTGTCAAATGTGTGTTAAACATCCTGCAAAATTGACCACAGATAGATGTTTCCCATCAGGACATGTTTGACTTATTTACCATAGTTATTTACGCATGGTTGTGTTTAGAGAGCGCTCTGGAGGCCGGAGTGGGTGGAGCTTGCGTGCCTCGCGCTGGGTCCTCGCGCAGAGCCACGCTCAGCAGCAGCACTGGAAGAGGAGGAGAAAGAGAGGAGAGAGAGAGAGGAGCACAAAGTTTCAGGCTGCAGCTGATCGGACACGGACGGAACCTCTGGTCAGGTTTGTGCAATATTATCACCACTTTTTGTAATCACGCTGCTGATAATACTTGCATTTTTGGTTTTAATTAGTCAAATAAAGCACGCTCGATCTGTATTGTGCATGGATTTATTACAGATTGCACTGCGTAATTGTGTGAAGATTGACGTGCATGTGTTTAATAGTAAGATTTTGCGGTGTATTATAAGTTTAAAGCTACGTTATCAATTCAGTTTTTTTGTACAACTTTCCAAGTCATCCTTTCGCCACAAATGCTGTGTTGTAAACTAGTTTTTGGTGTCATTTTTATTTATTTATATACCTTTCAAATGACTTTAACTTGATAATAGGAGTCACCTTTGTCAAAGAGCAGCAGGAAATGCTTCTGTTGTTTTGTAAAAAGTCGAACCTAGAGAATTAACGGTCCAACAAAATTGACAGGAGACAAAAATGGCAATAAAACAGATGACTTATCTGATCTTTTGCAAATCTTATCATGAATATTATGGTGATTTTTTGGGTGATTTAAGGAGGTAAGAATATCTGCTGGGTCTCCTTTCACCAAACCTGCTGACTTTGATTTATTTGAGGGCACCATTTTTCCACATCATGGACCAATGTGCCATGAAATTACAATGACAAGTCCTGTGGCAAGACAGAATCCCTTCCCTCCCTTCAGCCCCGAGACAGGCTCCTTCAGCAGGAAAAGGGTTGGATTATCCCGCTGAGAGATGGGAGAATGAACTCCACGCAGGTCATTAAGATAGCACGGATGCACACATGTTTAATACATGTGAATTTAATTTAAAAATGTCACTCTGTAGCTGCTCTTTTAGAGTTGCAATTGATACTGATGGGGGGAAACACCATAGGCACTGCGTTGATCTGTTATCGATTCTTTTTGGTTCTAATGTGTAATTTGATCCAGCTCTTGGCTACAGAGATGTATCCTTTGCTCTATCCACCTCATCATTTATCCACCAGGATTGAAATCTGTGTCAGGCGCTGGATGCATCACAGGCTTCCTGGCTTTATCCATCTATATTGTCTTATGTTACATGGACATGCTGAATAATGAACTAACTGCCTCTTGTCAACAGTAATGAGTCATCTGAGGTTTTGATATCTAACAATCTGGATTGAGGTCGTTGAGCAGAGGCAGAGGTCCACTGCTGTTCTGAGACCAGGTAAAGATTTCAGATTAAAGTGTAAGGGATACGAGAGCTGGTCAACTCTCAGAATAAATGTATAGGAATAATACTCACCCAAGTACAGTATGGTTCAGAGGGCTACATTTCAATATGGTTAAATGACATCTCAGATAGGGCTAAAACGTACTTTCTGTATGGATTGATCTGCAGAAAATGGTTGTTTTCACCAAAAATGTAAGACTTGCTCAGATTTTCCTTCCAAAACCCGAATATATTAACTTGACAATGAAATTAAGCAAAGAAAGCAAGACATCTTCATAATTCAGAGGCTGAAAACACAATTTTAGCAATTGTTTTTGCTAAAAAATTACTTTAACGATTAACCGGTTATCAAAATAGTTGTCGATTATTTTTTGTTAATTTACTTATCTTTACTTTTCTCACAATTTTTTTTACCAGTTTTAGGTTTTTGTGCATGTTAATGGTCTGCAAAGGCTAAAATCCCTGGGTTCCAGTTTCATATATTTCCTGTTAAGCATAACACTTGAAAGTTACCCAATGTAAACATGCAGAAGTCAACAAAAGGGCAATACTCTCATTAAAGGCTTGATCATTTGTCATGGAAATGAGAGCATACTGTGGCAACGTTGCTTTATTGCATTCTCAGTATACCATTTATGATAAATAACCACAAAAGCTCATCTGCAGGAAGCTCATGATCAGCATCATCACGTCATGACTTGTAATGAAAGAAGAGATGGGGAAGAAATGGTTTCCCCGCAGAGAAACACAGAGTCAGGATGTACAGTATTACATAGAGCACATTAGAGAATCAGGTTCTCCACACACTCTCACTCTCTTATATCGTTTACTCTCTATCTCTCACCAACGTTATTGTTTCATTAGGTGGTTCAGACCCTGTGTGAAAGCAGCAGAAGTGAAGTCACTAAAGTGTCATTGCTGCACGAACGCTATCATTTAAACTGTTATACGGTTCAGTTCTGAAATTACTTTTTCACGAGAAATCACCTGCGCGTCTTATGACAGTATATTACCCCTGAAATAATAGCAATGTCACACCGAGCGTGATTCAATTTGGCCGTATATAACGTGGCAACATGGCACAGAGGCTCATAAACCTCCTATTTTCTGTCCCGTAAAGAGCCGCCTCCCGCTCGCATGAACACGAAAGCAGGTAGAAGGTGGAAAATGGCTTTTTGAGGCGCAGCGTCAAGGGTCTTCAGGCTCGACAAGGAGGCGATTCTTCGAGTGGTTTTGATTGCCTGGTGAAGATAGGGCATCACATATTCATCGACCCCCATAATCTATAGCCCCTTTGGAAACAGACACAGGGCCCAGGATTTCATTGTCTCCAGAAAGCCCCCCATGACCCCTGAGCACAGTATATTAAATCGATTGGAAATACTAGAAGAGGGGCAATTCACTTATTGGAATGAAATCTGCTGATGGACCATGAAGTGTGTGGATAAGCTCCCCTTTCCTTTTCTGGTCTGCAAGGCTTCTCTGTAATCTCAGTCATCAAATGAGCCAGACTGACTGCCTTCCCTTCAGCAAGGTGATCTGTCCTCGCTCTCTGAGGACATTTCTCCTGTGTTAAATCCTTGCTTAGGAGTCCAATTGTCAGTGGGGATCACCCTGATGAGCAAAAGTTATTTCAGCTTTGAATCAGCACTTTCCCATTGTTGAGAATTCAAAGCTTCTCTTTTTCTTGAAAGGTCGTACGGATTTACGCCCTGATACTGTATTTTTTTCATGGAGTGTGGCGTAACAAGTGTTTTTTAAATTGCTGACTGAAAGCCATTGTATTCCATCCTGGCATGTGTTCGCGCTGACGTCTCAGGGAAGCGGCAACATCCGGGTCTGAAAGTGAAATCTATGTTGAAGTGCCTCAAAAAATGTCCATCGTAAGTTGATCTTTAAATGTCTTGATTTGTCAGTTTCGAATCGCTTGTCGTTTTGTTGACATCGTTGTAGCTCTACTACTGCAAAAAGAAGTATAGAAGTCTATGAAAAAATGACCCTTTACCTCATTGAGCTCATGGTCTCAATTGTTAGTTTGAAGTCTTCTTTAGTACAGCATGAGGTTCATTTGATAAATGATGGTCCCATTTAGATTAACACAGATAAATCAGGATATGCTTCACTACCCAGTTTTTGACAGGTCTCTACCACGGCGTTGTCCAGTTTATGGATGGACCAACATGTGACTTTTTTACTTCTGGTTCCATAAAAACAAGATGGCGATGGCCAAAATGCCAAACTCAAGGCTTCAAAACAGTAGTCAATGAACCAATGAGTGACGTCTTGGTGACTTCATAGACACTTCTAATACACAGTTTATGGATATGTGCAGGGGAGCACCTTCCGAACAGGCAAGGCAGGAAACTGTTTGGGGCCCCGGACCAGAAGGGGGCCCCCAAAGAAGGTAGATTAAGAAGGTCCACAGCAACGACAACATGAAACACCCTTTAATTTACTGCAACGACATGTCGGGTAACCCCCTTAAGGGGTCCCCATGCATAGCGCGCCATCAAAAGCTAATAATTTCAGTTGCGCTGCTCCACTCCAGGGGGGGGCTGTCGGCTGTGCGTGGTGATGAAAAGCTGGTTCGAGAGGCCCCCAGTGAATGTTTGCCTAGGGCCCCCACAGACTCTAGGATCACCACTGGATATGTGGTGAACATGTGGTAAACCCATAGAGTTATCACCAAACTCTTTCTTATCTGTGGTTCCAGAAAAACTGAGAAAATTCAAAATGTAAGGTTTCCAAACATTCACCACAGAACCAAGGGGTGATTTCACAGTGGCTGACTCGTCTAGTTATTCAGTCTATGGGCTCAGGTTATTTATTTGTACCATTCTCAACAAAGTTTCATACTTTCTTTAAATGCTAACTGTAGTGTAAGCACTGCCAGTGTTGTGTGGGTAGGGCATGTGATATAAATACGGCCACTGGGGATCTGACAGAATGACTTGATGCTTGATGGAAGGAAAGTGCTGTTCTCTGACTTTTTAAGAGTGCTGACATTTTCATATTGCCCAACACACACACACACACACACACACACACACACACACACACACACACACACACACACACACACACACACACACACACACACACACACACACACACACACACACACACACACACACACACACACACACACACACACACACACATACACCATGTATACATCACTTCAGGGGACATTACATTGACTTACATGCATTTCCTGGAGACTTATCCTAACCTTAACCATAACCAACACATGCCTAACCCTAACCCTTACCCTTACCCTAACCCTAATCCTAAACCTAACCAAGTCTTCACCCTAAAATTAATGATTCCCCTCATGGGGACCTCCAATTTGTCCCCATAAGGGAAGCCAGTCCCCACACGTGACTATGTAAACAGATTTAGGTCCCCACAAGTATAGTAATGCTAGACCACACACACCCACACACACCCACACACACCCACACACACACACACACACACACACACACACACACACACACACACACACACACACACACACACACACACACACACACACACACACACACACACACACACACACACACACACACACACACACACACACACACACACACCTCCTACTTAGACCCTCCCCAAATCTCCTCTCTCTCAGCACCTGTCCTTTTCCCTCGTCCTCCTACCTTCATCTGATTGATGCCCCCCCGGTTCCCTGGGTAGCCGCAGACCTCTGGCTCTGTCCGAATGCAGACGTGAATCATAGGGATTACCGTTCTGTTCTCCACCTTTCCTCCCAACTTTCTCTCGCTTAGTTTTCTTACCTCATCCCTCATTTCACATCCTCTCACCTCACCACTGGGCCTCTTCTGGATGTGTGCTGCTGTGCTGTTATCCCTGGTGACAGCAGCAGGGGGTCTTTCAAGGTGAATTATAGGGTTGGATTGGCCTATCAGCTGCTCTCATGCTCACTTACACGCTCTTTATTTCCTGCGTTTTTCAGAATTGAACAGAATTACATTACATGTTATTTGTTAGATGCTTTTATCCAAAGCGACTTACATACTCAATACTGTGGACAATCCCCACAGGAGCAATTTGGGGTGAAGCGTCTTGCCCAGGGACACAACGACATGCTGACTGCAGTGGGGTTTGAACCTGTGACCCCTGATTTGAACCTGTGACCCCTGATTCCAACACCAAGGCTCTATCCACTGCGCCACACGCATAAATTGCCCTGTACATAAAACGTTTCCACTTTTTTGGAACATTTTCTCACTCACTTACTCCTAGCCTGCAACCAATTTATCCTCATTTTGTGATATTTCATTGCCTGTGATTCGTAAGTTAGATGAAGATACATTTGTTTGGGCTAGTATTTGTATTTATTCATTTATTGAACAGGGACAGAGCATTTTAATAGAGATTTCTGTAAATGCGCCAGAATTAGCCAACATGCTAGGTCACCCCTCAAAACTAATTATACTTAAAAAAAGTATATCTGGTTTTCATAAATCCTTAAAAACATTCAACATAAAATCTCACATATAGGAAATAATATTTAATAAAATAAAATAAAAACATGACTTTTCATCCCAATTTGTGGGACAAAAACATGATATGTAAAATGTTTTAAGAAGGAGGGTGTAGCAACTATTTCATAAAGAAAAAAGCAATTCTTATATTGAATATTTAACATCTTTCATTTGTAAGTATGTATGTATGTATGTATGTATGTATGTATGTATGTATGTATGTATGTATGTATGTATGTATGTATGTATGTATGTATGTATGTATGTATGTATGTATGTATGTATGTATGTATGTATGTATATATGTATGTATGTATGTATGTATGTATGTATGTATGTATGTATATATGTATGTATGTATGTATGTATGTATGTATGTATGTATGTATGTATGTATGTATGTGGATATATATGGATATATATGTATGTGGATACTGATGACATTTGTCCGCCCTGATAGGAAAAGAAGGGACTTTTTTCAGG